CTAATGGTTTTAAAAAATCTCATGAATTAACTTGAGTTACTGGTGTGTTTCTGACGGTATTAATTGTATCTTTTGATGTAATACGGTATTCCTTACCTTGTAATCAAATTAGTTGTTGCACAGTCAAAACTATGACAACAGAAGTTATTCATGTAATATAATTACCTTTGGTAGAGTTATTATGCGAAATAAATTGTAAAATAAAAATATTTGACATTTCGTTAATTATTCGTTTCAAGCTTTCTTAATTAAAAATGAAAGAATACATATATTAGTCTAATTAAAATTATATTTTTGATATATATATATATTAAAAAAAAAGGAAAAATTCATCATATTTATATATATAAACGCGTAATCAGACTCTATGTAACCAAAAAAATAATAAGATAGTAGTAGAAATAATTAATAAAATTTGATATTATCATTATTACTTATAAGTTTTGAAAGAAATTAATTACATAAAATATATCATGTGGAAAATATCATTTAAAACCATAAATTTTGCTAGAATATTTTTTTCCTTTTTATAAATAAAACCTAAAAATGTGAGATCAGTGTTGATAATATAAACATATTGAGTTTTGAATTATTATTATGTTAATTTTTATTTATCTTATTTTTTTTAATGATTTTTTCACTTCTAATGGACCAGTTTCGTGATTTTATAAACAACTTATTATTCTGTTTAATTACAAGAAAATAATGTATCAACTCTGAGTATTTTTTTTTTTAAATTTTCTTTTGATATTGATATTGTTGCTGCATATACATATATATATATATATATATATATATACTCAAGACTTGAAAAGTAGATAATGTGTTTGCTAATATATATTTATCAAAATTATTTTCTTAAACAATTTTTCTTGAGAGCTTACATGAAACACTATAGACTTGTACTTGCTAACAATTTTAAAATTTAGTACATTCTATCATAATAATTTTTTGGAGAATTATTTATTTTTTGTAATCATATCACTTTTTTAATTTTTTTTCATTGTTGAAGTGAATCTTTTATAGATGTATTCAAAATTTAATCATTTGTAAAGATGATAATAAATCTTTTATATAATATTTAAATGAATTTTAGTGTAAAATATTCATTATAGATAATTCTTGCATTATGCTAATATAATAAAATAACCGAATAAACACATAAATTATAACTAAGTTGAGAAAATAAAATTGTAAAAAAAAAAAAAAAAAAAGCTGCAAGAAGGAAAGTGTAGTTGATAATTATAAAATTAAATAAAATACAGTAACGATAATATAAAAAAACAGAAAAATAAAATTAACATTTAATGTTTCTTTTTAAAAAAAAAACTAAGTTAAAGAGCAAAGATCCAAACGTGGTACGAAAGGCAGGAGGACTGAGAGCCCTGCACGCCTCTTCTTCCTTCTGCTTGGGCGGGCGTGCAGGTCCTCGCTTATTCTTCATCTTCTTTGGCTGCCCCTACAATATCTTCTCTGTTTTTTTTCTTTTTTTTCTTTTTTTTGGTTCATTAAAACGGCGCCGTTTTGAGGCTTTCCAAAACGACGTCGTTCATGTCTTTCTTATTCCTGGTGTCTGGTTTCAAAACGTCACGTTGATGAACAAGAAGACATAAAGTAAAATACAATAATAATAATAATAATATAAAAAACAGAAAAATAACATTTATAAATAACAAAATGAATAAAAAATTAAGAGGTAACAAAAATAACTTTTGTACCAAGTTTGGATCTCCAGCATTCTTTGACTTAGCTTTTTTTTTTTTAATATTAAAAAATAAACGATACAATGTATGTTGTTTTATGGGCCATAATTGATGTACGGAAGCATGACCATTCGTGTATTGTTGTTTCTCTGCCACCCAAAACTGCTACCTCCTCACCCCAAATTTAATGTCATCACAACCTGCCCCGCTCCTATTATTCGTACCACTTGCAAAGTCGCCAACAAGCTGGTTTCTCTTGAACCAACTTATCTTGTCATTCGGTTAACTTCATAAAAAAAAGATGCGATTTGTAGCAGAATTTTTTGTTTTGTGCCCAAACTAATCAACCCAGCTTAAAACCGATTGAATTGCTTAGTTTCTCTATTTTCTGAAATGAGAGCTGTGTACGTTTTTCTATTTTATTATTTTTGTGTATGTATTTAATTATGGACATGTGCGTATTTCTATATACAAAGAGAAGAGGAAAATGCACTAATTGAGAAAAAGTAAACAAACCCTGACAAAATACTTAACAAACTAAAAACAAAAACAAATCTCCATCGTCCACTTGCCCTAAATCCCAGCATTCTTTTCATCTGACCCTTCATTTTGTGCCTTCGATCTCAACCGTTCATTTTTCCCAAACCCTAGCAGAATCCACAGCTGGTCTTTCTCTTGTGAACAGCTCCGCTGCGAGACGGGTAAGCCGTGTGATAGGGGAGGTTCACCACCACATCATTGCGTGCGAGGGGAGCTCCTCTCTCCTTTTAACTCCCAATATATACAAGTATATACACTCCTGAGAAAAGGTGAAGAAAATCCATTGGAATGGGAAAAGTAATGGGGAAGCATCGGTTGGACAAGTACTACCGGTTAGCCAAGGAACACGGAGAGTGGATTGGGATTAGAGAATTAATTTGGAATTTAAAATAGCGATTCAGACTTAAATTCTATACTTAAAATAAAGATTTCGAAAAAATTAAATTTCTAAATTTTATCGTTCTTCTTTTTAAAGAGAAAATGATTAATTAATAAGATATAAAACTAAGTCATAGAGTAATAATAAAAATAATCATAGAATAATAAAAATGAATTCGAATTATAATTAGAAATATCATATATATATAGTTACAGTTATGGATAACAATAATTTATTTAGTTACAAATTCATTAATTTCATAAAAAAAAGATGCGATTTGCAGCAGAATTTTTTGTTTTGGGCCCAAACTAATCAATCCAGCCTAAAACCGATTGAAGTGCTTAGTTTCTCTATTTTCTGAAATAAGAGCTGTGTACATTTGTCTATTTTACTATTTTTGTGTATGTATTTTATTATGGACATGTAAGTATTTATATACACAAAGAGAAGTGAAAAATGCACTAATTGAGAAAAAGTAAACAAACCGTGATAAATTGCTTAACAAACTAAAAACAAAAACAAATCTCCAACGTCCACTTGCCCTAAATCCCAGCATTCTTTTCATCTGGCCCTTCATTTTGTGCCTTCGATCTCAACCATCCATTTTTTCCAAACCCTAGCAGAATCCACGTCCTATAGAAACCAAATAAGACTGGTTGCGTCAAGGTTGGGCCAAGGCTAGGGAAATTCTAAATTTTACGGGTTTGCATTTTTGGAGTGTTCGGGTTCTTGTGCTTTGATCGGATTTAAACAGACATTTTAGGATCAAGAAAAGATTAAATAAGATATTTGTTTTAAAAGAAATTTAAAGTTAGGCTCTCGTTTAAATTGGGATTAGAGAATTAATTTGAAATTTAAAATAGCGATTCAGACTTAAATTCTATACTTAAAATAAAGATTTCAAAAAAATTAAGTTTCTAAATTTTATAGTTCATCTTTTTAAAGAGAGAATGATTAATTAATAAGATATAAAACTAAGTCATAGAGTAATAATAAAAATAATAATAGTAGCAATTTTAAAAAATAATCATAGAATAACAAAAATAAATTCGAACTATAATTAAAAATATCATAGATATATATATTTACAGTTATGGGTAATAATAATTTCTTTAGTTACAAATTCGTTAACTTCATAAAAAAAAGATGCGATTTGCAGTAGAATTTTTTGTTTTGGGCCCAAACTAATCAACACAGCCTAAAGTCGATTGAAGTGCTTAGTTTCTCTCTTTTTCTAAAATAAGAGCTGTGTACGTTTCTCTATTTTACTGTTTTTGTTTATGTATTTTATTATGGACATGTGCGTATTTATATACACAAAGAGAAGAGGAAAATGCACTAATTGAGAAAAAGTAAACAAATCGTGACAAATTGCTTAACAAACTAAAAACAAAAACAAATCTCCATCGTCCACTTGCCCTAAATCCCAGCATTCTTTTCATCTGGCCCTTCATTTTGTGCCTTCGATCTCAACCGTCCATTTTTTCCAAACCCTAGCAGAATCCACGTCCTATAGAAACCATATAAGACTGGTTGCGTCAAGGTTGGGCCAAGGCTAGGGAAATTCTAAATTTTATGGGCTTGCATTTTTGGAGTGTTCGGGTTCTTGTGCTTTGGTCGGATTTAAACAGACATTTTAGGGTCAAGAAAAGATTGAATAAGATATGTGTTTTAAAAGAAATTTAAAGTTAGACTTTCGTTAAAATTGGGATTAGAGAATTAATTTGGAATTTAAAATAGCGATTCAGACTTAAATTCTATATTTAAAATAAAGATTTCGAAAAAATTAAGTTTCTAAATTTTATAGTTCTTCTTTTTAAAGAGAGAATGATTAATTAATAAGATATGAAACTAAGTCATAGAGTAATAATAAAAATAATAATAGTAGCAATTTAAAAAAATAATCATAGAATAATAAAAATGAATTCGAATTATTACTAGAAATATCATATATATATATATATATAGTTACAGTTATGGGTAACAATAATTTATTTAGTTACAAATTCGTTAACTTCATAAAAAAAAATGCGATTTGCAGCAGAATTTTTTGTTTTGGGCCCAAACTAATCAACCCAGCCTAAAGCCGATTGAAGTGCTTAGTTTCTCTATTTTCTAAAATAAGAGCTGTGTACGTTTTTGTGTATGTATTTTATTATAAACATGTGCGTATTTATATACAGAAAGAGAAGAGGAAAATGCACTAATTGAGAAAAAGTAAACAAACCCTGACAAATTGCTTAACAAACTAAAAACAGAAACAAATCTCCATCGTCCACTTGCCCTAAATCCCGACATTCTTTTCATCTGGCCCTTCATTTTGTACATTCGATCTCAACCGTCCATTTTTTCCAAACCCTAGCAGAATCCACCACATCATTGCGTGCAAGGGGAGCTCCACTCTCCGTTAACTCCCTATATATACAAGTATATACCCCTGAGAAAAGTTGAAGAAAATCCGCTGGAATGGGAAAAGTAAAGGGGAAGCATCGGTTGGACAAGTACTACCGGTTAGCCAAGGAACACGGGTACCGATCTCGAGCCTCGTGGAAGCTGGTCCAGCTCGACTCCAAGTTCTCTTTCCTCCGCTCTGCACATGCCGTCCTCGACCTCTGCGCCGCCCCCGGTGGGTGGATGCAGGTTGCCGTTCAGCGCGTTCCCGTCGGCAGCTTGGTCCTCGGAATCGACTTGGTACCCATTGCCCCCATTCGCGGAGCTGAAGCTATGGTGCAGGACATCACCAAGCCCGAGTGCAAGGCGAAAGTCCAGCGTGTCATGGATGAGCATGGGGTGAAGGCTTTTGATCTTGTCCTCCACGATGGCTCCCCTAATGTGGGTGGCGCCTGGGCCCAGGAGGCAATGAGCCAGAACGCCTTAGTTATCGATTCTGTCAAGCTTGCTACTCAGTTCCTAGCTCCAAAGGGAACGTTTGTTACTAAGGTACTCATTTTCGGTTGCCCTGACCTTGTTCAGTATTTCCAACTTTTTGTCTTTCAGTCATATCTTCTGTTATATATCTAAAGGTTTCATTAAAGTGCTTTGTATATCGTTTAGTCTCAGCTACGGATTCTGCATGCTGCAAGCTCATTTGTTTTTTGTCTTGTCTTAGGTTTTTAGGTCACAAGACTACAGTTCTGTTCTTTACTGCCTTAAGCAGGTTAGTTTTATTTTGTCGCCTTCTCAACATTTTCTTGATAATCTGCTCTTTGAAAGTAATTATTGGTGAGCCTCGTGCTAAACTATTGTGGTACTGATTTTTCTGCAGTTATTTGAGAAGGTTGAGGTAGATAAACCAGCTGCCAGTCGTTCAGCGTCTGCAGAAATATATGTTTTGGGTTTAAAATACAAGGCCCCTGCAAAAATTGATCCACGTCTTCTCGATGTTAAGCATCTTTTCCAAGGATCTGTAGAACCACAGAAGAAGGTAATTTTGTTGTTTTGGAATATAAACAACAAATTGACTTTACTCAAATTATCATCTCACTCCAGTCCATTATGTTTTGATATTTATTTATTTCAAAAAAAAAAAAATATATGTTTTGATATTTATGATTGTTTTGTTGATTTTCTAAATGTAGGTGGTGGATGTGCTAAGAGGTACTAAGCAAAAGAGGCACCGTGATGGGTGAGCCTGCCTTCTTTGATTGATCTCATTATCTATGTTGTTTCCTCTTTCAGCCATGTCAATCTCATAATCTAGTGGTGTTATTTAATAGGAAACTAGGGTGACAACGGATGTTTAAAAATAGTGCTTTTCAATTGTTCATATTAACTGTGTTTACTTACTAAGTTTTATTTACAGTTATGAGGATGGTGCCACAATTTTGAGGAAAGCGACTTCAGCTGCTGATTTCATTTGGTCTGATGCACCACTGGAGATCCTTGGTTCAGTTACTTCCATAAGCTTTGACAATCCAGCTTCTTTACTTATTAAGGATCATAGTCTGACCACAGACGAGGTGTCGTCCCCGGCCCCTTCTTTGGATTCGAACTTTGAATCTTGTTTATTATCTTTCCATTTACCGTGTCTTTTTTTTTTCTTTTGACAGGTTAAGGCTCTTTGTGATGATCTACGTGTTTTGGCGAAGCAAGACTTCAAATACATCTTGAAGTAAGGAAGTCTGTTGCCTTATTTTCATTGTTTTGGAAGTTTATCCTTCTGTATGACATTTTTGAGTTTGAAGTTTTATTTAGTATATTATGGTTCATGGAAGGATAAGTCGAGCATGTATAGTACTTTGTATTCTCCCTTCCGTAACTATTTGCTATTTGATTCTATCCACGTCGCCAAAAGGAGTACCTATTACTAAGAATTCTGCGTTTAATGTGTTCAGTGCGTTGTGATATTTTTGCATAAGAATGCATAGAATCCATGGTACTGCAGTGGAAATCTGTGTCTGATTATGTGCATAATAAATCCCAAGTGATTTTAGCAAAGTTAACTACCAGTCCCTAGGAAGGCTTCTGTAGTCTTGCCTTTTACCAGAATGATTGAATTCTATATTTTACTGGGGTCTGATAAATTTCTGTCAAGTTTCAACATTTCGTTTGGATCTAATATATGTTCTTTAATCTGCTTGATACTGAAAGACACACAAGCAATCAGTAATTAATTTTTGCAATTTTAGTGTGCTCTTTGGTTCTAGCTAATGGCAGCGTTCCCATTAAAGAACCTCTTGAATTAATATGCTTTGGTGTTATTGAATTTTAAACAAGAGCCTGTAGTTTTGTTCTATCATTCTCCATTGGTAGAGCTAATAGCATATTACAGTTTACCCACATCACGTGCAATGTTCTTTTTGGTCACATAGGTGGCGGATGCAGATTAGGAAGGCCCTGTCTCCTTCCCAGAAGTCTACTTCTACTGCTACTGCAAATCTTGAAACTGAGATCAAGGAGGATGAAGATGTTAGATTGCTTAACGAAATGGAAGAGTTAACCTATGCAATGGAACGCAAGAAAAAACAGGCAAAAAAGCTTCTTGCAAAAAGACGAGCCAAGGTTTGGCATTTTTCCCACTCGCTCTGCACGTACATATTCTGAGAAACAAGCTTACCAGCAATGTGTCTATTTCAGTATTACTTGTTCAGTTATCCAGTATTTCTCATGAAGCTCTCTCTTGCTTAACTTCATACGCGTATACCAGGATAAGGCACGAAAAGCAACGGGGGTACAAATAGATGCACTGGAAGATGGTTATGTTGACCATGAGTTGTTTTCCCTATCGTCCATCAAGGTTAAATACTGTGCTTCTACTTCATCATCCTTATAAAGAGAATATGGTTCCTTGCTTTGCATTGAATTATCTGTGAATCCATATTTTTTGAAAGAATTTTATGTCGATCCACTGTGCTGGATCCTCGGAACATTCTTTCTTATATGTCGCCTTGTAGTTGTAATTTGCGATTGTCTACAGCTGGTGGTGTGATACTTCAGAAGTTTTGACAATTTTACAAGTAGGATGTCAGGGACCTGATATAAGTAAGAACAAGAAATTGAAGCTTAAGTATGATGGCACACAATCATCACCTTGTCCTTTTATGAGTTCAGAAAGTTATTTTTGTTTTTGTTTTCTAAAGGGAATTCAAGAAATTATTAAGCTGTCTACAGAATTATCTTGTAGCCATGCCTCTCCTAATAAACTGTTGGATTGCAGGTTTAACTGAAGGTTGTGATACAAAACTATTGATATTCAACAGGCATATTTGATGTGCTGGTCTCGCATTCTGTTTATCTATTTGGTTGTACTGTTGGCTTTTCAGGGGAAGAAAGATCTGGTTGCTGTTGATAATGATGAGTTTCCTGGTGAGATGGATGACGTGAAGGATAGTGACGATGAAGAAAACAGGGAGGAACGTCCCAAGGATTCTTCTAGTGATATAGACTCTGATGTAGAACGCAGAAGGTCAGTCAAACGGTTCCAATGATGCTGTCAATCACCTATTCTTCCTTGTTGATTCTGCAATATTATGCTATCCTCAATGTTCTTAGGTATGATGAACAAATGGAAAATATTCTTGACGAGGCTTATGAAAGATTTGTTGCCAAAAAGGAGGGAAGTACAAAGCAGAGGAAGCGTGCAAAACAAGTCTACTCGGAAGAACTCCTGGAGGTACTTATGATCCTTTCATTTGGAAGAATGATTTTCATCCAGTGATCCTATTATGGTTTCCTCACTGTCCCTGATTTGTGTGCAATCTCTTTTCCCCATGGATCTCTTTCATAATTACTTTTTTTCTCCCTTTTTATGATGCTGGGCAGTAGTGTTAACGCATGGTTCTTGGTTTCTGGTTGGGGAGGGAATCTCTGTTCCTGATCTTTGCATGGAGGGAATTTTTCATTTCGCAATATTGCTTTTCTAAAATTTTGATATTGGGTCTGCAGGGTGATGGTGGTGATGATGATGGTATGCCTTCAGATTATGATTCAGACAAAGAGCAGGGTGATTACGAGGTCAATCCCCTTGTGGTACCACTTGATGGGGGAGAAGCACCAACTCAAGAGGAGATCACAGACAAGTGGTTTAGTCAGGATGTATTTGTGGAAGCAGTGCGGGGAGGAGATTTGGAGGACGACAGTGAGGATGAAATGCAGGTTGAAAAGCAGGAGGGAAGACTTCCCATCCCTGGAAAAAAGGACAGGACTGAGAAACCTGCTCCGGTGCCCATCCACACTCTAGCCAAAGCTTCCAAGGTGGAAGATGATTTTGAAATAGTCCCTGCTCCAGCTACAGATTCGAGTGCTGAGTCGTCCTCAGATGACTCTGAGGAAGATGCGGATGCGAAGGCTGAGATATTGGCTTGCGCAAAGAAAATGTTGAGGAAAAAGCAAAGAGAGGAGATACTCGATGATGCTTACAGCAAGTACATGTTTGACGACGAGGGCCTACCAAAGTGGTTTCTGGAGGAAGAAAGGAGGCATAGGCAACCAGTCAAACGTGTTACAAAAGAGGAGATAGCTGCAATGAGAGCACAATTCAAAGAAATCAATGCCAGGCCTGCAAAGAAAGTGGCTGAGGCCAAAGCCCGCAAGAAGCGTGCAGCCATGAGGAAGCTCGAGAAAGTTCGGAAGAAAGCAAACAGTATATCAGACCAAGCAGACATATCAGATCCTTCAAAGAGGAAATTAATTGAGCAACTCTATAAGAAGGCAACGCCCAGAAGGCCACAAAAGGAATATGTGGTTGCGAAGAAAGGAGTGCAGGTGAAGACTGGCAAGGGAAAAGTCCTTGTAGATCCTAGGATGAAAAAGGATGCTAGGGCACGTGGGATGGGGAAGCCAGGAAAAGGAGGTAAAAAGGGGAAGAATGTCAAAGCTCAGAAAGGCAAAGGACAAATGAAGGCGCGGTCAAAGACGGGAAGGAAGCCCAAGAAAGAGAGGTAGAAGGAAGGCGGATGCGTATATGACTGAGCAGGGGCATGGCCCTTGTTGTTATTCTTTTTTATTTTTTTGTTTGTTAATTATTATTTTTTTTTGTAATTTACAAAGTAAATCCTCTTACTAATTTCTTTCTTTATTTTTCGAAAAACAAAACGGAAAAAAATGTTTCCTTTAAATCCTACCAGAATTGTACATTTGTTACATTTCAGAATGGGAATGTCCTTTTTTATTAGAATTTCTTTTAAAGACGCAAAAATTCAACAACATGACTGTCCTATGGTGATATCCGGATCGTAAATCTGTATAATAAATCAATTAAATGTAGTTACTTTTTTTTTTAAATAATAAGATTACGTATTTAATTATAACAATTAAAAAATTTTAAGGAGTAATAACTAATTTTATGATTAACCTTACAAAAGATCATATTATACTTTAAAACGAGTAATAAGATCTATTTCTCTTATTTTTTTCAAGTGTATAATTAATATAACCTCACACGTATCTACTTATTTCGGATTCAGTTTTGTCATTGACAATTTTTTATTCTCTTTTATCTTATGGGCACATTTCGTCCTCGACCTCTGCGCCGTCCCCCGGTGGGTGGATGCAGGTTGCCGTTCGGCGCGTTCCTGTCGGCAACTTGGTCCTCGGAATCGGCTTCGTACCCATTGCCCCTATTCGCTGAGCTGAAGCTACGGAGCAGGACATCACCTTGCCCGAGTGCGATTCTTACGAGTCAATGACAGTCTCTTCGTTGACCAATTATGTTATGTCTAATGACAAGAACAATGTTCAAAGGAATAAATATTAATATGATTTTTAGCAATAAAAAAACTTATTTCAACTGTCAAAGTTTGTACATCGAATCTAAAATCACTAGTCCAACAACTAGACTCAAAACTGTTGGTTTTTAGAAGTTCAACTAAAGTTATCTGCAACAAATAGGATTTCAACAATCCACACACTAATCTCTTTACATGATACGTTAGATCGATACTACATATTCGTATAAAAACTGTTGATTGATTGACTTTGTCACATTAATCTCTTTGCATAAAAATGGCTGACATCCATTCAGATACATTACTGATTTGTACTCCTTTTTTTTTTTCAACAATGAGTACCATAGAGTAGGATTTATTAACAGTGGGTAGGATTTGATTTCTCACATGATCGTATGTGTCGTTAAGACCCATCAGAAATTGAATCAAAGAGGATGAACTGTCTATTTCACTATTCAAATTAGTAGCGTTGCATGTACTTGCAGGTAATGGTCTCAAATAACTCAATTCATCCCAAAGTTTTTTTAATTTTGTAAAATAAGCAACGACCGAAAGGCTTGATTGAGTAATGGAACTAATTTCTCGTTTTAATTGATATATTAATGGACCATTGCTTTCTCCATACTTTTATTTGATTTCATCCCACCAATTTTTTGCAGATGCGGTCTACAGGAAGGCACTGGCCAGCTTCTTCGTCATTGAGTTGAGGATCCAAGACACCACCATGTTATTTGCCTTTTGCCAACGTTCATATTCTATTGTGTTGGAGATTGGTTTCTCAAATCTACCATCAATAAGAGCTAACTTATCTTTAGCTGTTAGAGCAATCATCATGGCTCTGCTCCAAAAGAGGTAATTAGAGCCATCAAGATGTGCAGAAACGAGCTATATTCCGAGTTTATCTAAGCTTTGGAGGGTTAACATGTTGATAGTAGGATTTGGGTTTGGATTAGCCATTCTAAGGGTAGATTAACACTAAAATTTTGATGAAATAATGCTTAGTACAGACACTACTTTGATACCATGAAAAAAAGATATGAGTAAATTTTACTGTTTTTGTGTATGTATTTCATTATATGCAGGTGGGTATTTATATACACACGGGGAAGAGGGAAATGCACTAATCGAGAAAAAGAAACAAACCCTAACAAATTGCTCAACAAACCAAAAACAAAAATAAATTCTAGAATCTATTTTTATAGGTGTCCACAACATATATCAACTTTTAATCTCCATCGTCTACTTGCCCAAAATCCAACATTCTTTTCATCTAGCCCTTCATTTTCAGCTTTCGATATCAACTGCCCATTTATTCCAAACCCTAGCAGAAAACATTCTGGAACACCCCCCAAATTATTATTATTATTTTTATTTTATTTTATTTTATTTTTTTTAAAAAAATTATATGAATATAATGATTATTTATGTAATAATATATGATTTTAATTTAGTTTAATTTAATTAAATATAAATAATAATAATAAGGGGTAAAATTATTTTTGATATTTAATTAAAAATAATTTTGGAAAAAAAGAGTGAAAATTTGGGTTATGGGGATGTTTTTGAAAAGAAAATTAAAAACCAGATGTTAAAACGCAATTTAAAAAAATTACGCCATGTCAGCACCCTCGGCCAACCAGGACACACCACGTGGCAAAGATACTGACGCGGGAGGCCACGCGAAAGGGAGTCACGTGGGCGATCCGCGTGAGCATGATCGAATGGCTGAGATCCGTCCCACGCGCACGGATGGCCCAAATCAAAAGCGCGTGCAGACGGCCCAGATTGCATGCGTACGGACAGCCCACATTGAATCGCGCATGGACGGTCCAGATTGCATCACGATGAACGGTCCAGATTCATTTCAAATTTAATCGCAATTGGACGGTTCAGATTAAATCGCGATGGATGGCTCAGATTAAAAGCGAAAGGTTATAAATAATCTCATCCACACTCAAATCCTAACCCTAGCCGCCAGAGCTCTCACCGGAGAAGACAGCCCAGCCACCGGGGAACCGACCGCCGCCGCACCGGAGCACTTTTCGGCTGCCAAACGAGGTAAAAATTCTTTCCTTGGCTCGGATTTCAATTCTAAACCCACCTATGGCCAAATCGGAGCCAAAACACCGGCCAATTGGCCAGAAATGCCGTCGAATCCCAGCAGCGCCGCCACAAATTTTCTCAGTTTTTGCCTCCGATGAGGCCCTTTCCGATTCCCGTTCGATGTAATTTTTACACCATTATGACCACCGTTTCTTACTCTACAGGTTGATCGGAGCAAAATACCAAATCGTAACTCGAGCCGGAGGAGCCGCCTCATCGGAGAGCTCCGCCGCAAGTAAGTCTCGGTTTTCTATATTTTTCCTGCCCACCGAGGGCCTTACATGTATTTTCTCGCAAGAACTGGTGCTAGTTTGACTGAATTAGATCAGAAACGGCCGAAAACAGCCAATCTGAGGCGGAGCCGCCGTCACCGGAGCACGGCAAAGCCGCCGTGTCGGAATTCTGAAATTGGCCGAGTAGGCCCTAGGTCTGATTTTGAGTTATTTGGGGACATGTGCATGTACCGTAAATGCGTTTCAGTTCTTAGGAAAAAATTCAAGGAATTTAGGGACTGCCCATAGGCTCAATGAAAAACCGACTTTAGACTTCAAATCAAGTAAGGACCCCTCAACCTATTTCCTATCGTGGAATTAAAGTTCAATTAAATAGAAATATCGTATTTTTGCAATTAATATATATGTATAAGTAATTAAGGTTGCTAATGGAGTCCGAATCTGATCTATTTTTTGTTCAGTTCTTATTTTATTTATTTTATAGTTTTTAAATGCGTTACGGTATGTGGCTTATTTATTCTATGGTTTTGAATGAATGAATCACTGTTTACTTCATTATAGCTTAATTTTGTGAATTCGATGATATGCTTGTCTTATTGAATGCACGTTGCTTGTTTAAATATCCATGTTTGATTTGATAATGGAGACTAGGAATAAATAGAAAAGGAATGTGAATTGATAAGTGGATAAGTTGACAGCCTCACTAGATATTCTGAGAGATGGTGGACGGACCAGGTCCAAAGAGAACCCTACCAGGAACGTTGTCTCATACCGGATGGGGTATAGAGACTTTAAATGTTTTGGCGCTCATACCGGACGGGGTATAGAGACGGCCCGCTTCACCCTCATACCGGACGGGGTATTGAGGTTTATTGTTTTGGCACCCATACCGGACGGGGTATGGGGACGACCCTTGAACTAAATTGTTAAAGTGAATGGTTCACGTGTAGAGGGGACCCCTATGGATTTCCATGGATACTGGTAGGCTAATAAAAGAGGAAAATTGTTGTTTGATGATCGAAATATAAAAGTATGACATGTGTTATGTTACAGAGTGTGTATGATTTTATGATATCTATAATCTTATTATTTTTTAATGGTTGTTTTCGTGAATCTCACCGAGATAAGTGGACAGTAAAGGGTTTTATTATTGATAAATGAATTTGTTAAAAATTGTGCTCCATTGGTTGTTTTTATTTTCTACCAACCTTTACTTCTGTGACAGTGATATAGTGTGACGTCTTTACTAGACTAGTGTAACTCATTCCTTACTTAACCATTTTAGATCAGGAAGACTTGGTTCCCGAGCCCGTTCCGCAGGAAGACGGCGAGTAGATACCTAAAGATTTTATAGTTTTCCTTATAGTATTCATTTATAGTATTTCCTTTAGTTAGCTCATTCTTTTAAATGTTTAGTACGTTTTGGTTATTGTATAAGGGATGTTAACCATAATCTTTTATTTCGCTTCCGCACTTAGAATTATATACATTTCCTTTTAATTTCTGGGGCTATTACACATTCACTCTTTTACATCTTCCTTTCTCCTTTTTCCTTTAACTCCCAATGTATACATGTAAAGGGAAAGCATCGGAAGAAAATCCACTGGAATGGAAAAAGTAAAGGGGAAGCATCAGTTGGACAAATACTATCAGTTAGCCAAGGAATACAGGTACCGATATCGAGCCTCATGGAAGTTGGTCCAGCTTGACTCCAAGTTCTCTTTCCTCTGCTCGGCACATGCCGTCTTAGACCTTTATGCTACCCCCGGTGGGTGAATTAAAGTTGTCATTTTGTGCGTTCCTGTCAACAGCTTTGTTCTCGGAATCGACTTGGTACCCATTGCCCCTATTCGCAGATTAAAGCGTATAATTAATATAATCTCACACATATCTACTTATTTCGGACTTGTTTTGTTAGTGACAATTTTTTATTCTTTTCAACTAACATATAATTGATGTTATAAATTCAATCTTTAATTTTAGTTGGAAATGTTTTATCAATTAATTTATCACGAATGAAGATTTATTTGATTTAAAAATCTTCTATTTATGTAAAATTTAAATGTCTTTATTATAATTGAATTGAAGTATCTTAACCAGTCATATTAAATTTT